AAACTACCTGAGATCGTTTATCGTCGATCTAAACTGTCAAAATTATATCTCTTTCAAACTTATCCCATCTTCATTTTATCGAAAAAAAAAAAATAAAAACAGGTAAATTCGCCCGGGCCAACTTTTAATAACCTCCACCATTTTGAAGAAACTTCAAAAATATCTCAAAATATTATCTTAGATAAATACCTCTCAAATGGTACCCCTTATATGGAGGCTATACAAAGAAGTGTTCCTTCATAAGTACTTTTTGTCATAGACTGTAGTACCCATTACGAACTTCAAATACGAAATTTGAAATAATTCCGGTAAAAATATCACTAAAATAATTAAAATGCCAATTATTTGGAGGTATCGTTATATGGCTATATGCAAATGTGGACCTGCATACGCGATTTTTTGTTATAGGTTTTAGTACTCATTACGAACTTTACATACGAGAATTAGAAAAATTCCGGTAAAAATGACCCCAAAATATCGAATATTGGGAAGTACCGTTATATGGGGGCTATACGAAGACGTGGTCCTGCATAGACACTTTTTTTACCATATATTCTAGTACGAATTTCAGCTACTAAATTTGAAAAAATTCCTGATAATAATGTTGCTAAATGGCGGCTATACGTAGACCTGCCCACGCGATTTTTTATCATTGGCTGTAGTACCTATTACGAACTTTAAATACGAAATTTGAAACAATTCCGGCTAAATATCGCTAAAATCATAAAAATAATAAATATTGGGATGTACCTTTATATGGGGGCTATATGAAAACTTAGACCTATATGGCCCATTTGCCTATTGGTATAATACTCATGTGTGAAAAATGTTAGCCTTCTATCTCAATTCGTTCGCTATATCGACTTAGACTGTTACGCTGATCCAGAATATACATACTTCGTAGGGTATATCATGAAGTTCTCATATATGCACTATCAATCGAAACTGGAGCCGAATTTCGTTTCAATTGACCCATTTTTCATCTGTCCTTGGATTTCTGGAAATATTTTGCTATATCTCCAATGCCGGACTATAAACGCCAAGGATATCATCATCAATGTAAAGTATAAAAGTGCCCATTACTCGTATTTTTGATTTTGCCAGCAAAAATTACAATTTATTGTCCATTTTACCAAACGTCAAGTAGCTCTTACCATTCACATAATACCAAATGGTACCAAATTTAGTCCCTATAGTGCATATATAGTTTAATTAAAAAAAAAACATTTCCTTGTCTATCCCGCACCCTATGAGCGACTTACTCCAAATTTGTGGCTCTATTCAATTTTTTCTACCATTTAGAACTCTTAAACTTCGAATTTCCCAAACTCCAGCTCTTTCTTACCCCTACACACAAACATTGATCCAATGCAATTCACGATTCTAGCTGCATCCGTTTCCCCTGGACGCCTGGATGAATTTCTTCTCTCATTTAATATTTTCTTTTTTCATCATTAATTCCCTTGGTTGTAAAATCTCCCAAAATTACAAGATACATCCAATGGCATAACATGCGTAATTTTATACCAACCATTCTCTTATTCATAATTTACTGCCGCGCTATTTAAGAGGATGTCACATATGTTGTTGGCGTTGTCCCTCCATAATTGTAATAATAATGTTCACGAGAGCCTGACAGTCACATCACTAATGACATGTGTCACTTAGCCGAAGAACGGATTGACAAAATGTTCAGGTAAACAGATAGCATGTCCAGGCGTTATGGCCATTTATGCACACATGTCCAGCGTTTTATACATACACACATACATACATATATACACATGTGTAGATTTACACTTGTATTTGGCTTTTGCACATTTACAAAACATGTGAATGCACGCACACACACACACACCCACACATTTGCATTCTAGCGATGTATAAGTAGGTGAGTCAATATTTGTTACATTCACTACATAAAATCATATTTACGCTTAAAATCCTGTGTCTCGCATTAGTTGGGGGCCAGAGCAACGCACAAACGGATATATTGACATACAGACACTCTTCCGGATAGACAGCCACACAGGCAGGCAGGCAGCTTTGAAAGTATACGTGAACACATGTACCGTTAATGTTATGAACATCCTATTTAGTTGACATTTAATGCAGTAAGGACATGCCAGCATCCTCCAACCGGCATAGACCTGCATCACTGGGCCACACTGGGTGCGTGCCAGTTACGGTGGCATTTGTGGACATTGACGCATGATACGCGGGTATACATTCAAGCTACCATATAGAGTTGATTCTACGAGTGTGCGTGTGTCCGTGTCAAGTGTATTATAACAATTGTCCGTGTTGACAGTTTGTTATACGACTTAATACACGGCCAGGCTGGATATTTATGAGTTTGTATTATGGATATTTCGCTGTTAATTTCCGCCTCGCTCGAACGATTCACTTTTGCCGTTTCGTTTGAGCCATCGATATGCAGTCTCGTTTGGGCTGTTGTTTGGCAATCACTGTGGCAATCGGGGTTGGAGGGGGGTGCGGTGGTGTTAAATTTGCAATCGAAATGAGCGAAACGGCACACGGCAAATAGTCGTTATGATATCATGGAATCAATTCATTCATCGTTATGTAAACGAATAGGCTTCCTAAGAGCTGACATTCGACCAGCAGAACTGCCAGCACAACAGCAGCAGGAGCAGAAACAGAAACACCAGCAGTCAGCGAGCCAGCCTGCACGTCATTCAAAGGTATTTAATGAATTGACAGACAACGATTGAATAAACGAAAGCCCTTGAGGGCAAAAACTACAAAAAAAAAGACAAGCAGAAATCAGCAAAAACAACAAAAACGCCGTTTATTTTATCGAGTGAAAAAAGAGAAAACGGAAATTTGAGTCTTTTACATTGCATTCGGGGTGATAACGGAAAATTTGGAAAATAATTTATGTTCAGCATTGGGGACGTTTGACATTTGAAATGGTTTCGTTTAGAAACGAATGCATTCAGTGACATGTAAACCCCGCGGGTATACATTCAAGCTACCATATAGAGTTGATTCTACGAGTGTGCGTGTGTCCGTGTCAAGTGTATTATAACAATTGTCCGTGTTGACAGTTTGTTATACGACTTAATACACGGCCAGGCTGGATATTTATGAGTTTGTATTATGGATATTTCGCTGTTAATTTCCGCCTCGCTCGAACGATTCACTTTTGCCGTTTCGTTTGAGCCATCGATATGCAGTCTCGTTTGGGCTGTTGTTTGGCAATCACTGTGGCAATCGGGGTTGGAGGGGGGTGCGGTGGTGTTAAATTTGCAATCGAAATGAGCGAAACGGCACACGGCAAATAGTCGTTATGATATCATGGAATCAATTCATTCATCGTTATGTAAACGAATAGGCTTCCTAAGAGCTGACATTCGACCAGCAGAACTGCCAGCACAACAGCAGCAGGAGCAGAAACAGAAACACCAGCAGTCAGCGAGCCAGCCTGCACGTCATTCAAAGGTATTTAATGAATTGACAGACAACGATTGAATAAACGAAAGCCCTTGAGGGCAAAAACTACAAAAAAAAAGACAAGCAGAAATCAGCAAAAACAACAAAAACGCCGTTTATTTTATCGAGTGAAAAAAGAGAAAACGGAAATTTGAGTCTTTTACATTGCATTCGGGGTGATAACGGAAAATTTGGAAAATAATTTATGTTCAGCATTGGGGACGTTTGACATTTGAAATGGTTTCGTTTAGAAACGAATGCATTCAGTGACATGTAAACCCGATAAGATAGTTCAAACTAGTTGGAAAGGATGTGTAAAACAAAATTACGAGAGTAGAAACAATGTTCGAAATAGGGTTAAGTGGGGAGGAAACTTCATGGCAGGAGTGGTGGTGACAATTTCATGCAAATTGGATAAAGAAAAGCAAAAATTATAGAGAACGTTTCATTAGAAAATACTGCCGAGTCAAAAAACAAAATTACATGATTGACAGCTTCTGACAGGCGGATATATTGATGCTAAAGGATTGCAATCTAATTTGGAAAATTAGCCATATTTTCTAATAATTTCTGTTTAAAATAGTTTTTTTTTTTCAGGGAAAATTTCATATCTCCCTCGTTATCTTGTTTATCCAATAAACGCAGCAAGTATTTTTGCTCTTTTGCGCCTAAAAGTATACACCATGAACATTAGTTTAACTTTTATAAAGATCCGATTTTAATATATCAAAAGACTATCAAAGAAATCTATTACAATTCCGAAGAAATCCACTTCGGATTTCCGAAAGCTCTTTTACTTTGCAGGTGACCGTAGTCTGTAACTCGAATAAAACCATACAATTTATTTCTACAAATTGGATTTCATTAAATGCGGTATAAAAGGCAAAAACTCAAGATTATCAAACAAAATCACCTTTTTATTCAAGAAAATAAGCAACAACATAATTAGAAATTCATATCCGTTTATTTTGGGAAATTTGCTGGACCATTTTGGTATATTTCCGAATTTTATTTTAAATATTTATCAGATATGTAAAAATACAATTGTAATTTGGCACGGGAGTCGGCTGCTAACACATCGTTTACTCGTTCTCTCAAAGCCACGACTCAAATATTCTACCCCTGTTATCATTGGTTTTCAATGCTTCTAATTGGTTTAAGAGAGAATTATCGTCGCTCAGAGCTATGCACGTGTGCTCTGGTGTAAAGTCTTTCCTAGAACTAAAAATCATGAAAACAAGCGATAAACAAACCTTTACCATCCAATGGAGACTGAACGGATAGACTGGTATTATTTATTTACTCTCATCATTATATTCTCACAAATATCTCACTGCCAAAAAAAAAACTCCCCGATTTAATAGGATATCATTGCACCAACCCAATTTCAGTCCAGCGTCAAGGGCGTATAATTAACATCATTTATTATACGCCCATTTGCCTATTTGTATATTTCAACCATTTACGCTTTAAAAATATTAATTTCTTTAAATTCAAATATCAAAACCATAATTTAAAACTCCATCATCCGTGTATTCACTTACCTGATCCGTAAAGTTATCCGTATGAAACATAACCTTCACATAGCTCGTCTCACTGATAAATGTTTGCGGCTGCTCCGCTTCGCCACAGAACATACCCGGCTCTCGACGATTTGACACATCCGTTTTGGCATTGCCATCAACAATCTGAAAGTCGACACAGAAGAAATTGAAAATAAAAACAACAGAATAAACATCAATTGTTTATTAAAAATTGAAATTCATCACACGATTGAATTCGAACGAAACATCACACAAAAAAAAACAGTAGAATGAAAATGTATTTTTCTCTCTCGCCTCTGCTCTTCCCATGTTTTTCACTCTAACTTGTTATTGTGGATATCCTTCTTGGCTCTGTGAGAATGCTGTTCGTTCGCTTCGAGACAGGGATATATTATTTCTACAAAGTGGTTTTGGTGGGTAGAACTAAAGCAAATAAATATGAAGATGTCAACTAGAGGATGATTATTCCCATATGTCATCATTTATGCTGAAAGTGTAGCCAAAAAGCAACGTTCAACTCGAGACATGGTATGGGAGAGGGGTGGTGAGGAGTGAATGTATAAAGTTGTTTATATTGCTTCCACATAGTATAAAGTATAGCTGTGTAAAATGTACGAGGTGGGTTGGTTAATGCAAGTCGGCGAATTTTTTGGAAATGATTTAAAAAATTTTAAAGGAGAGTGGATCAAAATCACAGCAAGATAATGAGAGAATATGACAAAATATTTGTTGGAGATAAGTGAACATGTTTTTTATAATAAATTTGAATCATGCTGCCTTGTGTAAAAAAGGAGATTTTAGTTAAGCAGGAATCTATTTTAAAAAAGCCTATTTAAATAAGAAAGGACCATATGGTGAGCGGACCTTCGAGGTTGATGTACTATATGTTTGTGATATATTAAGCGATATAATCTAGACCATCGACTGATAAACAGATGTAGCTTTAATTATTGTAGATGTGTTTCATATTTTCTCTCTCTTACACTTTTGCAAAGGACGCGAATAATTATTCAGAAGAGAAAAGAAAAAATAACATAACCTGCCAAAAATACGCCACGTCCTCACTTTTTATGTTTCTTAACCTAGCACTCGGCAAATTCTTTAACGAAATCATAACATCCTATGCCGACCCTTTGGAGGGCTTGAGAATTATTTCAATCGGTACTGAAAACGCTTGAAACTTTATGTATTGATGTAAACGTATAATACTAAGGTCTAAGGTAGGCATATGTTGAAGCACTGAGAATATCTTTTGATAAAATGTTGGAATTATGGAATAGATAAAATATGGCTTTGAATGAAAATTCAAAAAAACCCATCACCATAGATATTTTAACGCCTCTGAGATCTTAAACATAGTATTGGGCACACTGCCGTATGCGTAACGTCAATACTTATACGCACCAAGGTCCCACTACACACACGAAATCCCAACAACTCCAACCAACTTTGTACATCATACCAATCCTCTTTCAACACAAAAAAACGTAAAGACCTACTTCTCTCACAACACACACATACACTCACACATCATCTTCAATTTCATAGAATTTGACACATTGCACAAATATAGAAATATTCTGCAAACAACAACATCGAGTACGTGTGTATATTTTTGCAATAATAATTTAGACTTTTCCTACTGATTAGTATGACGTCCATATGCCAGGTTTTCGGTAGTCATTCTTGGCCATAAAATATTTTGGCTATCTAGAAATGAAAAATCTTTATTTTGTCAAGATTTTCCAGAAAGGAAGATATAAGTGAAGTGTGTGACAAGGCATACAGTCGGGGATATATGGCTGAATGGTAATCATGACAATCACTTGCACATCGAAGGAGCAGATCCGAGAGAAAGAGAGAGGGAGAGCGGCATATGCTTATGCATGTCAGTAAGTCAGTTGAGGTTATATTAAGCAATAAATTTAATTTGATATCTTCGTTCTTTGTGTGTGTGTGTGTGTGCCGAGATATAAGTGAATACATAGTCTGGTATGTGCGTGTGTGTGTGTCCGTACATATGACTGTGTTAATGCTTGTCTACCATAAATCACAATTCCCCTGAGCCTGAAAATGCTAGTCTTTCATTCGACCGGATACAAATGTATGGACATTAACAAATTAGATTTGTTGTCTAAAGACATACGGCTGGTCGGAACACACATAGGCCCACACACGCGCAAACACACTCACACACACACTCACGCACAAATGTAAATATAAAAGACCTAAGTGAGTGGGTGTGTTTGTGTCTCAAATGATGTACATTTTGAGATAATTCATTTAGCTTACCTGCAGATAGCCACCTTCACAATGTGTTGCATTTAAGAGAGTTCCAACCTTAAATTTCTTGAAACGCAGCCGTAAAACGAAATCTCTGGGTGCACCTTTTAACGTTCGAAATCGATACCAGCAGGTCAGGGGCCGGCCCACATTTATGTGATTCACTTCGGGCGAACTTACATCTTCGAAGATATCGACGGTTTTGTTGCACTGATCCTTGGAGATGTCAACAGACCCACCACCTGGAAGACAAAACGAAGGAAGATGTTAAAAAATTCACAGATAATTGGTTTCAGCTGTAGTCAATAAATTTAGTAAGATAAAATTAGCACCTCAGATAAAAATAAATAATTTATAAAGATTATTCATAAGTACCGAGAATTATTGTCTCGCCCTTAACTTATTTTAACACTGCTTTTGGAAATCCGGAAATGTAAGGAGAAGTGCATTTATTGTCATATTGTCAGTGCCATACTTAAGTGTTCCATTCGTTATTTTTGACTTTTCGAGACATAGTTCAATTTTAAGGTTTGTCGGTATGCTCTACCTTAATTTTTAGCCAGCCCAAGGTCCACAAAAAATTATTTTTATCTGGAAATCCTGAAAACACAATCCATGATTTTTGGTTTTGGTTTGAAAGAATTTTTAAAATCTCTATCTCTCAACAATTTCCTTAAAAATATTAAGCTGTTTGATTACGCCGACCTTGACCATTTTTAAAAATATCTGTATTTTTGGCCATTTGGTCTGTGAAAAAATCCAATCCACGATTTTTGAATAGGATATCCTTGAAGCAATTTTTTTCAAAAAATAAACAATTTTTGCTCAAATAGTATTTGAAAAAGTACTTGTGATCCATAGTCAGGAGGTCCTTGAAAAAAATTGTTAAAAATGTGAAATTTTTTATGAGCTGCTTGAGGAAATTTTTCTTGAAAAAAATTTATTTAAAACCGGATTGTGACCATTTCAGCAGATACAAGTCTGATTAGTTCCGGGACCAGTTCATGTATCAATCAAAACAATTCCATTCGTCATAAAAGTTCCCTTAGCTCGAAGCAATTCGAGATATAAGTTTGAAATGCGTTTTTCTTGAATGGCGTGTAGCACACTCAAGCGTGACACCATTGATAAAGCGTATGTCTCAGTGAGGCGAACTTCCGATAAAGCGAATATCTCAGTGAGACGCTCTTTCTGATTCATTATATTTAGAATTTTGGATATTTCATTCTGGGACCAAAAACAGAAGCACGAACAAATAACCATATCGGTTATTTTGGTGATTATCGCCACGCAAAATGACTATTTTTTGGTGATATGTTTCACGAAAATCACATTGATATGTGTTGGCACTGGATGCCATATGTCATAGTGTTTTTTATTCAATTTCCTAACGATAAGTAAATAAAAAGGACAAATATTAAAAAAAGTAAACGTTTCTCATCCGCCACATGAGATGAGTAAAATAATCATATCCTCTCTCCCTCCCTCTTTCTTTTCAACCTACTTCAAATTTAATACTCAACACAAATCTCTTAAATTCATAGAAGAAAAAAAAAAAACAATATGACCTCCCCCACCCTCTCCTCCTCCGTTCAATTCTAATACTAAACAAACATGTGAACAATGGCAAAAGTCAACAGGCTGTCGAACAAACAAAAACATAAACCTAAACCTTAAGTATCCAAAGACCCTTTACAAATACCAGCTTCTCAAATAGTGTTATAAAATTTTAAATTATTATTTGACAAGACCTCCAGCCTTGCTACTATAAGCCCACTTCAGCCGATGAAGGCAGGACAGCAGACAGGAGGGCGGTTCGTCAGCCGGGCCATTGATGCTGACAACGAGGCGGACGACTTTGGGCTGATTGTAATTTCTGGAGCTCTATATGAATTGTTTGATTTTGACATTAAAGCGGCACAGCGGCAACGAAATTCATTTTCAGCCACCCAACTGAGAGCCTCAGCCTGGTTTCTTGTAGGCCATTTTCCTCCGTTGGTAGATTCTACGTTGTAACGTTTATGTCACTACTACGCCCTCAAAAACAGACATACTGTCAGAAAACGGAATAAACGCCCTTCGACAAAGCAACGACCTCGCTGGCCATTATGCAGAGGAGGAGGAACAGAGCAGAGAAGGGAGAAATAAGGAAGACGAAAATAAAACTGTTGGTTATGGCTGACACTGATGTTGCCTATGATGATGAGTACACCGAATGAATGACTATCGCCGGGAGGTGGAAATGTAGTGTTCGAGGAGGCGGAGAAAAGATGACGAAAATGTTGATTTGTTTGTGTCGCTCAGCAATTGTTGGACATAAAGCTGCTTTTCAGTTTGCCAAATACAGGGTGACACACAAACACATTTAACAACAATGAGAACCCTCCCGCCCGCATTTTCTTTCATGATGGACTTCATTGTCCTTAATTTATTTTTGTGGTATTTCCAGTGTTTGTTTTATAACAACAACAACAATAGCAACAACACATTCACACCAAGGGCCAGAGCCTTACACATCAAACCAGGCTGCTGATGCCACCATTCATAGAAATTATTCTTTCTTTCCATCTTTTTGCAAGGCTTTGTTCCGCCACCAGCCAGCCAACGGCATCACATCATCATTGTCGTCATCATCATTTCTGTCCTTTCTGTTTGGCCAAATCAGTTTTATATGGAACACAAAAGGGACATTGTGCTGAATTTGTAATTCACGTTGCCGCCTTTATTACCGAGTCCGCAGTAGCAGTCCAAGTTTTGCGAAAACACATTTTCAAAATGCAAAAGTTTTCCTTTTTTTCTTGTTTGGTGTACATCTTCCGGTTGCCTGCTGCCGCCGTGTTAGATATCCACGTTTTTGGGGCTGGCATTATATGGCCCAAATAGCATAACAACAACAACAGCAACAAAAGGAATCAAACTAGAAAACGAAAATCATCAGTGGTGGTAGAAAAAAAAAACAACAAGAACAACAAACAAAGCTTCAACACAAGTTGAAGATAATATGACATCGCGTGCTTTTTATTCACACTTTTATGGGTTCTGATACCCCCTTCCAACTAACTGCTTTGTTTGGCAGTAAGTTATAGGGTGTTATGGATTTGGCGTGAGAGAATTGTGGAAATTTTTAGTTTGCTGTTTCTCTTAAAGTGTCTACAGTTTCTAGAGATTGTCTAACTCTAACAATTATTGCTTTATGGAGCTTCACATGAACGGGGAGAACAGTATGTACCAGGATCATCTTAAAGACCTTATTGGCTCGGAAGTATTAGGGTTCCGTTGGTTTAAGGGAAATCGAGTGGATATTGCCGCTGTTACACACTATTCAACAGCCAGCCTGGGGTAGGTAATAATACCCTTAGCCATATGGCTAGAGAGTACAGCCTGGAGGCTACAGCCAACGTGCCTCATAGAAATAACGGTTTTTGACCCTCTTTTTACCAAATCCGTTTCAAGGCATTTGGAATCGAGCTAGAGATGTCTGTCCGTCTATCTGGCTGGTGCCCACGATAACTCTGGGAGTATCCGATTTGATCCAAATTTGGTATATCGTAATATTATGGTGAAACTTAGATCGAGTTCGGAGATGGTCAAAATCGGTCGAACCCTTCTGGTACCTCCGCCAAAAAAAAACGGAAAATTTTCCAAAGAAAAAAAAAAATTTCCTCTACAAGGAGAAACGATCACTTTGTAGATCCCAATATTTTTGCCAGTGCTAAGTGCCTCCCTCACAAAGGGTCAACATTTCGAATAATTATAGCTCTTATAAAATTTGAAATGAGAGTCAGATTGTCTTCATATTTCGCACATCCCGATATTTTTATTAAAAAAAGATTTGGTACCGAATAACAGGTCAAAATTTTGAAAAACCATGAAATTAGAAAAAGCGAAATGAGCATCCGATTCTTTTCGAATTTCACTCATCCCAATACTTATACTTAAGCAAGATCTGTAGTGGAATTCTCTAACTCATTTTTTGAGTTACAGACAAAAGTCGGTAAATTAGCGACGAAATCAAAGTAGTCGCTAAGACCTTCCGATAGATACTCAACCTTAAGTCAACCTTAAGTCATTCTTTATATGAAAATGTTAGGTTCAAATTTACCGATTTTTGTCGGTAACTCAAAAAATGTGTTAGAAAATCGCACTACTAGTGTGAAGATGGTAGATATCCGACCACTCCTTCTGGTACCTAAAAAATAAAATCAGTTAAAACTTCTGTTAAAATCTTAAAAATATCGACTATAGGGAGTTACCATTATATTGGGCTCAATATGAAGACGAAGACAATTCCGGTAAATAACGTAGCCTAAATCATCAGAACACCGAATATAGGGAGGGATAGACTGTAGTACCCCTTAAGAACTTTAAATACTAAACATGAAAAAATTCCGGTACCGAAAACCGAATAAAGGGAGGTACAGTAATGTGGGAGCTATACCAAAAAGTTTCAATACCAAAAGTCCTGCAGAAAAAACACGCATCTGAGTAAAATTTTATCAACTTACTTAATTTCGTTCGGAAGCTAAAGTGATTTCCACAGACGGACAGACAAACAGACGGACGGGCATTGCTCAATCTCTCTCTCTCTCTCTCTCTCTCTGTACGTAGTTCCTGCCAAGATAAACCTGGGGACCAGTGGGTGTAAAGGCAATTGGCTCGAAAGATGCTACCGCTGATTTTCTCTCCAGTTCTTCTCCTCCATTTTCATTTAATTAAAGATTCCATTTAATATTTCATTTCAAAATATTCCATTTCCATCACTCAATATTTCCGCCCACGCTTCTCGCTGCGTTTTAATGATCTTTGGAGCATCACAACAAACTTTACTTTAGTTACCACTACAAAGCAATGCATTTGGAATAATTTTCAAGTATTGTTTTAGTATTCGATCAAACTCTTGCGATTTCTTTTTTTATTTTTTCATTTTATTTTCTATTATATTTTTCCTCTTTTTTTAAATAAAGCTCTTCCACTTAGACAAAGTAAAGACAACACACAGAAAAAAATGTAAAAATATTCAACAACTTTTTCAAGTTTTTAGCTGAATTTTCGCTTTTAGTTTCCTTAGCATTTCAAGTATCCTTCAGCAGTTTGGTTGGAGGACTTTTGAGTTTCTTTTTGTTTTTCAGTTTTCTTGTTTTAGAAGTTTTTAATCAAGACGGCAAAGAAGACGAATATTCTTTTTTCTTCATGGTGACCATCATAAAAATACTATTACTGCTTGGCAATCTTGCGCGCTGCC